TCGTAATTAGTATTTATTCGGGAAAAGATAACTAACATATACTACTCTCTTCTACATATTCTACCTTTGTGTATAGAGGTTAGATAGATATTTAGAATAAGGGAAAATACTTTTATTTTAAATATATTAAAATATTTCATAGAATATTGGTTAATTTGGTTTCATTATTACATTATTTTAGGGTTCTTCGAATGAACGTAAAATTCAGATGTTTATCGTGACTTTTATGTCTCATATTGCTCTAAGTAGCACTGAATTTCTTCCGCGTTGAATTTTTTCATTTGAATGATTGAGCATGTACCAAATAAAGCAAACGTAATGTCGACTAAATGTACCTAATGGTCGTGCAATGTTCAGGAAATATGTGAATAAAATATAAATTGTTGAAAACACTACCAGAATTACAGTTTCCCGCTATATAATGAATGAATATAATGCTCTTGTATTGTATCCTGAATTCTAACAGGGCCTAGATAATGTAAGAAATGCCTGAATAAAATAGGCCTACTGTCACTCCTACCATAACTTTAAAACGCGAATTTAACCTCAGTACAAAATACAAATATTAGTATTCAATCGCTTTTCTTATAATGATCCTAACAATTCAAAAATACAACATTAGAGAGACCATTAGGGGAATTCCGGGCAACATGAGAAGAAAAAGGAAACTTTCGTGAAATGTTAAAGTTTGCTCTCTTTGCCCAATAGAAATAATTTATAAAGAAAATTTACAGAGAATTTTGTGATCTTTAAAATGGCACATCATTATTTTTGCGATACCAAATATGCCTGAAATGATTTTGTTTTATAGCTATCAAAACACTTCCCAAAGTATTTCGAGATGGAAAACTTAGTTTTCTTACTAATAACAATATAATAGTAATATTATTATTAATATTATTATTATTATTATTATTATTATTATTATTATTATTATTATTATTATTATTATTATTAATAATATAAGATCAAAATAAAGAAATAAAATCTTCTACCTTGCATTTTGCAAGGAAATATGACTTGCATCGACTGCACTAAAAAAGGCAGTTATATCTGTTGACCATATTAGATGCCACAGAGTGATAAAGAAGTTAAATTCCAAGAAGATGAATATTACACGGCTTAATATAGAAATTATTATTCAGTTCCGCAAACCTTGACGGAAAATTAAAAACGACAAAAACAAAAGTGTATCAAGAGAAGCATGATATCACAGCGAATGAATTTAATTCTCGATACCAGAGAGACCTGATAGATTTTCAGTCATATCAACTCAATGATAATGCATATCTTTTAGTACACAGTACTGGGATCAATTCACAAAATTTGTAGTTTCGAAAGCTCTCAAGAAGAAACGTACAATGGAGTAGCAGGTATTATCAAGTTAATTAAGATATTTACAAATTGGGGCACAGTGTTTGCCAACAATGTGTAAAGTGTAAATGGTTAATGGCCTTAATTAACAATTATCTATGGAATATCACAGTGTAGTCAAAGGTCAAAGTATCATGAACCTAAAACTGACTCAAAGAACATGATCTCTACATGAATTCAAAAGTAGACTTGCCAAGAGAGTGTACAATTCATACAATGCATGGAAAATAGTGCTGATTATGCTGGAATAAAGACAACACCACATAAAACTACTTCTGAATGTCATATCGCTTTGTGGTAAACTATTACAGATCTACACTTTTCACTACAGAATATGTAGTGAGGGCATCAGGGTCTATTGCAGATGACACTATCGATGGAAATAATAGTTAACAAGAACATAATTTATTCCCTATTGCCTTCAACATCAACATGTCTTCATCTCAGTCTCAAAATTCAATCTTCTGTGTATGCTCACACAACCGGTGGAGTGCCTTATGAAAAAAGGCTATTCCTGGACCAAAGTTGACAGCGGTTGTGGAGATGTACGAAATATTTTGGGAGTAGTAGCCAAAGTAAGAGAAAACTGATACTATCAATTTGCCATTAGAAAGCTCTATGAATAACGAGTGTTTGTACACAATTAAATACAACGATGGTAACTCTCTTGAGGAAGAAACTTCTCTCTAAATCAATGAGCAAAATATATATAACAAAAAATGAAATGAACTTCAACGTGCCTTGTTCTACTATCATCTTGTACCTGCTCAGACCTAGCTAATGCCATCTTGCCGACGTCTCGCCATCCCACGGTTATAAGTACAAAAGATCCCAAAATGGCAGTAACTATAAGGCATAATCAGAGATGGACAATGAATGATTTAATGGCGGAAATGTGGTCCTTTCACTATACATAACCAAAACGTCGCTGCTCAGAAATAGGAGTAATCAAAACGTGGAGACGAGGTAACCCAGGCACGACATCTACCAAGAATTGAACCAAGTTACCCAGCCAAGATCCATGGTCAGCAATGGAAAACTCATAAATGAAAAAAAATTCTGATATTGAAGGAAATGGTGGACGCACTATTCGATCACAATATCCTAATGACAAATATTTGGGCCAAAGTTTACCTCTGAACATGATGACCATAAAGATATAGCTCTTCCCATTATAAATGCTCATTTGTCAGGAACGGCTATAAATAATTGATCATATAGGATCTGCTGGTCTTATTAGAGGGAAGTCTAATAACTGAAAAGACATGATACGTTCCTTTGTTATCTCCACAGGCAGATATGTAACGCACTCAGTTCCAAACACAGCAAAGTGTTACAATCTATCTCCAAAATCGTGCCATCTGTTGCTGCGTGTACAATAACGTATGGCCAACAGATGGCACGAGAGCCGTAAGAAACTGGATAGGGTTATTTGGAATTGGAACAAAGACCATGCCTATGTGTTGTTATTGCTGTGCAATGCAACAATGTCGTTTTATATTATCACTTTAACGTTCAATATTTGATTTATAATTACCTCACTGCAAATTATCGAATACGAAATTACTCTATAGACTTTTTATACGTAGTGACAATGTCAATAAATAAAATAAAGTGTCGAAGTGAAATGCAAAATTGAATTCAGTAATTTGGTAACGTCCGTCCACCTGCCCGTCGTCCTTCCGACTGTCACCCGTTGCTGCACCCTCCGATGCACTGTTCGAGTGAAGGAAAGTTTCGATACGTCTCGGTGTGGTGGTCGGAAACTCGATATTTTTCGTTCACTTGTAATCTAATTTTAAATAAATAATTAAATAGATGACTAAATAGGTAAATAAATAAATATGGTAAATAAAACAATAATAAATAAAAATACACAAAAAAACAACACAATACAACAAATAAACAAAAATTAATAAAAAGTATTAACAAATAAATATAAAAAATGTAATTGTTAATAATCTTTTAAAATTTGTTCAAAGCGTCGTTTAAAGCCAGATTAAAATAGTAAAATTGTATTTTGAAACAAGAAAACGTAGAGCGATTAATAACATATCAACAGTGTACCAGTTCATCTTGCATAATTACATAATCTTAATGAGAGTGATTGAAAAATTACGGCCCAAGGTTATCAGGCAAGTCACTGCGAATCATTTTACTTAACGAAACTGTTTTAGTTCATAATTTAATTAAAAATGAATTAACTCTCGATGTGGTATTCTTAACACATTCCAATTTTAGAAATGGTTTGAGAAAAAATCTTAATTTCTATTCGGATAACCAATCTATTACAATGAACAAGGAAAACAGTTTTTAAACATATTAGGAGCACCCATACACATAATACACAACACATTCCTTTTGTTTTTAAATCTATGGAATGCTAGAATATAAATGAATTTAACATTTTATAAAGCAACACATTTCACTTCGATGATCGAGTTTTACGATTTACTACAAATTGGCTGCCTTGCAATACACTACTTATTGTGAGCTCATCACAAGTAGACTTCAATCTAGAATAATTAGTACATTATTTAATATGTAGAAAATTAATCGAATTCAATGTTTGTCTCTCCCCTAATAACCAAATTTACAATTATCACTGATGTAAGTTTATGAAACAAGGGTAGGAATTCATAGGTACCATTAAATTTTGAAATTTTCATTATTCTGTCATACTGGAAAATTGAACTGCTTACGAAAAGGATTCTATGGGTAAGTGCAACGATACTAATGCTTTTTACGATATCATGAAAAGATGGAGTTATATGTAAATAACACAGAAAGCAAATACTATTTACAGGTTTGAGAATTTAAAGGAATTCTCAAAGCAAACTTTACGATATGTTTCCGTATTTTTGCTCCTGAATGACTCTGCTGATATAATGTCTCACATGAGAATGATTTTTCGACAAACATAAATCCAATACATTCAATGCAACCGTCAAGGAATATGCTATCGGTCGAAATGTTACAATATTAATCCAATTGGCACGCAGTGCAAAAAATGATTCTCCCAGCAAGTACAATTGACACGTCCGTATCTACTTTGTAGAAACTCGTCATGTGGACTTGTATACTTTGTTCTTTACGTCTGAACCTCTAATCAACACCACACGACTTTGAACTACGTGAAACGGTTAGAATTGGACTTCGAAACATATACATGTTGTGCAGACTACCTCGTTTCTTGCTTTCCCTAGTCGTCAATGGTAACTTTTTTTGTGGAAGGATTAATTTCTTCTGAACAAATTCCACATTTAATTTCATTTCTCATTTCAGAATTTCTTTGCAAAATATAATATAATCTCTTTACATATAATGAATGAATTTTTATTTCTCAAAGAAAAAAAAAAAAGATTTATACTCATCGACTCCGTGAGGGGTGTGTCAAAGGAGGTGCATCCAGAAAGACAGAACAGAAATATTTTTAAAAAATTGTAAAAATAATACTTTTTGATGTTCTTGAGTGTTATTTAACTTCAATAAATGCATCTGCATTATTATTACGATTAAATTTTAAAAAAAGGAAATTAGTTGTGGCTAATTCTTAGGATTTATCGAAATATTTCATATGTCTCAATGGGTGTAACTGCATTCTCTTAAATTTCTTACTCCCGCAGGTACTCCCAGAAAACCTCCTACCGCTTCGGCTTCGCACTCCCGTTCGAGAACACTTTATATTCCGCGGGCGTTGAGCGCGACGTGCAGTTCCATCTGCCAGTGGACCTGCAGCTCGGCGCTAGCTTCACCTGGCGGCAGGGCGGTGTACCTCACGGAGCTTTCACCGCGACTCTAACGCCACTGCTCCGGCGTGCTGACGAGCGCCTCCTGCACTACAACGTAGTACCCTTCGTCGGCCGTCAGAGCGCACTGCAGCCCGCGCCGCCGTTGGTCGGCCGTCACGACGTTGTCCGCGGCCGCGCCCCGCCACAGGTAACCCACTCAACCAACGAACCACCCACCCACCCACGTAGCCCCGCGTGCATCGATTGCCACCTGAGCGCGGGGTTAGATTGCAGGTTTTTCACGTGCGCGGACGAGTGCTTTCACTTAGCGGCAATTAGAGAAGAAATAATCACAGCCAACGAGGGTACTGGGAGCTCTACACTCCACAGATATCACATACGGTTGGCATATTTATTGCCGTATTTTTATTAATATAATTATTACATCAAAATTGTACATAAATCTATTTGTGGTAACAGACTTGATATCACATAGTTCAATAACAAATAAAAAACTGCATTACTCGTCGAAGTTACTCATTCGATTGACTACAGAGTTTGGAAAAGTATTTAAAGTAAGGTAAAAGTATTTATTCACTTAGAAAGGATACACAGAAATGTATAAACTCAATTAATTAAAGTGACACATTCAGCAGCTTGATGAATAAACATTTTAAGATGCTTCTGTTCGCATAACTTTTCACGCAGTTTTTCATTGCTTTTTACCTTAAATAAATCGATTAAAATACCTTTAAAATGTAAGTACTATAATTATTAATAATTAAATCTTATAATTCTTATGTTGGCCGTTATGTTGAATTAATAGTTTCAATCGTTAAAATGTCTTTGCAATAAAAATCAATAAATCTGAAAATCGTTCGTGACGCTATTATTATTACCATTATCAGTATAATCGTTATTTGTGTATTCATGTTTTATGATCCAGAAATGAACGTTTTATCAACTTTTGCTTCAATAATGTAATCAGTTCGGTGTAATTTCTCAGCTTATGGAATAAAATACATTTTTTTCGCTTATCAACCAATATACTTTGTAATAAAAACATATTTACGCAGTCATGAGCAGACTAAAATAGTTGTCAATACGTGAGAACTGTGGGTTAAGGTTATTTACCTAAGGCACGTATAATACAAAGAAAACGAGTTAGTAGTTTGGCATTTTCGATTTGGATATTTATTTGATGTATTATTTTGAAAATATACGAAAATGCCACTTAAATGGCCGAAATATTGAACTGGGTAAAGGAAATAACACTAAATCATCACGCCTATTTTTTTCTATTAATTTCGTTACTTTCCATTTTTTTAATAATTCACGGGCTTTTGACAATTACTAATTTGAATAACATGAACACACTTGGTAGCATAAGTACCCATGTGGAAATAAATCAATCACACAACTTGCTACGCCAATTAATTGCAAGTTGTGAAACATAACTTTCTTCAGTATATTCTGTTAATAATATGTAAAATGTTTTGCAGTCGAGATTCTGTTGACTATGTTTAAAGATAGAGTTTCGACGGTGACAGGAAATGTTGGATACAAGGATTCATAACAGGATCAGATAAATATGTTCAGTTCCTCATAGCCGAAATAGACAATAAGGGCGCAAATGAGTTTATGGCACTTTTAGAACTAGAGGCGATTGTTCCTGTTTATATAATACTGACGTAGATAAATACGATATAATTCTAAATCGTGTTTAGCCGTCCTTCCTATAGTCGCTTATTCAAAAACTATGTGTTATTTTTTTTTCGTAATCTGAAGCTATGAAGGTTTATACGTTAGATATAAATATGTATTCATTTTGAGTCGTGAATATCTTTTAATTACAAAAAATCTCTATGATTATCTTTTTCGCAAAATAATTTACTAACCTTATAAGCAGAAAGCGTTGTTCATTTATTCCCTGACATAAGGTCCTGCATACACTCATATTGACAATATTTGCCAAAATATAACGCGTGTGTAACATTGAATTGAATAGAGACTGATTAATTACTTAACACGGTTTTTACATCTTTAATTCCGGCGTGGTGGATCGTGAACAAATTATATCTAGGACATGCCCCATCCTCACCTGAATCCATTTTTTGGTAATTTTATTCCATTTACTCAAAACAATTGTCTCACTTATATAATTTCACTCCAATGCATTGCTTCCATGAAGCACGCGTAGACGTTATTTCAAGATATTGAGATTCGAAAATAGTGTTACGAGTTTGTGTGCTCTGCCAATAATTCAGAAATCCGATTCAATTTTTTTTTAGATATTTATGAATCATTGAATTACATGTGTAACCTTTTGACATTTCACGTTTTTGTATAGCTTTTGATACATTTTTCATATCAAAATATCCATCTCTATTCCAAGTACACTCCTTAATTGACAATAAATGTCATACTGCTCAGCTTTAATTCACTATCTGTTAACCAATTGTGTGAATCATACAGAGAAGGATTGAGTTTTCTGTTAACCAATTGCGTGAATCATTGAATTTTCTTGCATTTTTTGTCGGCAACAAGATTTACAACCGTACATAGCATAAGAGTATGTCGACCACTGTCCAAAAGTTGTCTCTTCTCCATATCGTTAAAAGGAGAAAACGGTGTACGTAGTACTCCATTCACTGTATCATTAACGTAAAATTAGATTTAAATATAAAAAATCATGTAACACTAATAATCCGCAGCATAATTATTAAAAGCGAAAAAATAAATTCTTCTAAAATTTAATCACCTTCTCTGCATGTGTCAAGTCTTCAACAAACCAGTAAACACGCGCTACACGGTTTGTATGCGAGTTGAAATCGGAGTCTTCCGTGCGGGTGGGCAGAAAGAATTCACTGGTCTACGCTCAACGAGCTTGCGTCAAGTATCGACTGTTGGTGCTGTTCTACACACACTACATGGCCTTTTCTTCGAAGAGAAGCAAATTGAGGCTGTGTTCTGGCGTGCCTACCTAAGAGGTGCAAGCAGTCGCATGTCTCTGCGGGAAAAGACGATACAGATCGCATGGCAAGCGGGCTGCTAGAAAACGCTCAAAATGGAAATGTAAATGACGCTAATGACCCAGGTAGTTTCTAAAGCGACGGAAAATAAATCTTCTTCTTCTTCTTTTTCTTCTTCTTCCTCTTCTTCTTCTTTCTCTACATGGTTTGGACCTAATCTTTTCCGTTTCGGTTTCAGTCGGGTTGGGCTACTCCTTCCACCTTCTCGGTCTGCGAGGATCTCTATGTCGCTGAGGGTGGTAACTGACGGATCTTCGGAATCCTATCTCCTGTCATTCCTCTCATGGGGGAAAATCAGTTTGACCTATAAGTTTATTCATGAGTTTAATTCTAGTACTTTTAATTGTTCTCTCATTTCTGTATTGCTTTTTTTTATCTAATCGGAATTTCATTTCTGAAACTTCAATTCTTGAAGAGGTGATTGCTGTTACGGTCCGAGTTTCAGAACAGTAGGTGATGGTAGGGATGGACATTATAAAGTTTCATTATGAATTCTGGTCTGACCCTATTTGCAATGTTCTTTTAAGTGTTCCATTTACACAGCTGAATCTGTTAATTTCGTTCTCTGGGTCTATTTCTTGATAATGAGTATCTTAGAACTGTGGTAATTCAACTGGGTTACCGGAGTTATTTTATTTTCCCCTACAAGTTTTGATTGGATGGGTTTTTCCCCTAAAAAGGCCATTACTTTTGATTTATTGTCCGAGATTTTCATATTGAAACCTTTCATCATAGTTTAATTTATTTATAAGAGTTTGGAGTTCATCTTCAATTTTTGCAAATAATATTTGATCGTCTGCATGTAAAATTGTGTTTATGAACTAATCATCTATATTTATTCCTCATTTTATTATGTTTTTCCATAGTCACACTGCTTCGTCAAAATATAAATTGAAAAGAGATGGTGATAAGAGGCATCCTTGTCAAACTTCTCGGTTATATTACAACTGGAGACTTTTGATTCATATTAATTTTCGTGTTTTAATAAATAATTTGGATGATAGCTATGAGGTGAAGAGGAATTCTGCTTCAATATGATCCGTAGCTTTTTTTATCACGTTATCAAAAACCTTGGAATAATCAACGAAATAGAAATGTGTTTCGAAGTTGGTTCTCGTCTCTATTAGTTGTTTTGCTGAGACGTCCGTATCCACTGTCCGTGCAGCTTACCTTTCCTGAACACTGAGTGTTCCTCTAGAATAATTACATCAGTGATCTTATTTCGCGTATTTCTTAAAATCCTTGTACATATTATGTACGCTGTGCTTCGTATACAAATTCCTCTGTCATTCTCTGGGTTTGTTCTGTCACCTCTCTTGTAAATCGATATCACAGAAGCTACATTCGAATCTTGTGGTATTACTTTGTATTTCCAGCATTTTTTAAAGAGTTGTAGTAATTTTTATGTAAGATTTACGCGGCATATTCTTACAATTTCTTATTAATTTTGACCTACGACAAGCTTTCGGGTTTTTACTTGTTTTAAAGTTTCTTGAAGCTCATTTATTGTTAAGGAACCGGGTTCACTCGGTTATATTTCATCAGGTCCTTCACTTACATTCTTACCTATGTCTGGATCAGTCCATAGTATAAACAGAATTCTTGCATTTCGTCGTTACTTAACACTTAATTTTAAATATTCAAAAAAATCAATAAAACAGACTTAGGCTTGTTTTTGACTAAATCGTTAAATAGTCGGTGTAAGTAGCCCTAAACTGAGAGGCTCAGGTTGAGAAAATCCCCTTCTTTTTTCTCGTGCATGGTCAGGGCTTATAAAACCGTGTGTTCTCGGAAGCGAAATAAAGCACCGACGTTGATATTACGTCAGGAATTCAGCATACCACAGAGAATTACAGAGAATCGCAGAACTAATGTAATAGGGTGACTGCGACGTTACTCTGCCATGTAAACTATGACATTCCATCTCTGTAATATTCACGATGCTTCATTGGACAACGTTTAATATCTCCTTTCGGAGAATGTAGAATACTGAAATTCTAAAACGTGGTATTTGTGAGTAGCCACATATCGGCTCTGTTTGGATTTCACTAAAATTCCTGGATTATAAGCAATTTCAATTCGAAGTAATTGATAAATAATGCTGAATTAAAACTGTTTAGCTGGAATGGAACTTTTGTGTACAATACTGCACGTGCATCATACACTCTGTGCAATTTCCCTGCATACGCGCAGTTACCGACAATGATTATACAAAGATGTGGGAAATTGTGCTAGTATCAACATATTCTGCTAACAGTTTTAAAATGTCTATGATACAACTGCTATTAAACTCGTACACAATTCCATTGTAATGTTTCAATGAACTTGTATTATAACTTGTGACCAAAATTTGTATTATATGATCCTGCTATCCAAAAAATGAATAAATCTTCTTGTTATGTTTAGTAAATTACCTTTCTCACGTTGTGTACATTTAAGACACATCACGTGTCCTCAACTGACGAGGCCGAGGGGCAGCCTAAAGCTGCGTCCACACGATGCGTCTTTTTATCAACTTTGCGCGTGGGTCTGACTCATTCGTCTAGCGCACGTATCGCATGCGTTTCGGGCACGCGTCCTTTCTCGGTAAGAAATGAGTAGCATACGACTCCTCACAGGAGACGGAATTTCGGCGTCTTGACTTCGTGCTTTCTCCAAAGAAAACAGTGTGCAGCCTTTAAAACAATTTGAGTTCATTTCTAGCCGTTCTAGCCGTTCATTTCTAGCCTCATTTTGTTTGAGCACCAGCTCTACGTATGAGTATAGTGAAGTCTTGGAAAGTAATGGTACTCTTTGGAATACAATAGTTTCCAGAAATGAGTATTACTTGCAGATTATTATTGAAGACTGCTAGAGACTGAGGTTAGGAATTGGTAGAGAATTTTGCTGCTTTAGTACAAAATATTACATAGTTATTACAACTCAAAGTAAAATGTTCTTCCTTCATTACTAGTTTCCTTAAAATTTCCCTTCTTACAATGCTTTTCTCCTATTGTTCTTTCGCTTCATTGTGCAGTACAAAGCTTAAGCGTGTCGTCAGATCCATTGAACGACAAGGAAGAACGGTGTAGCCAGTGTAGCTCATATGAGTATAGTTGCACGTGCGTATTTCAACTTTACGCATGCAATTTTACGCCGAAAAGAAGTATCGTGTGGACGCAGCTTCATGGAAACGTTGCGAAAGGCTTTTCACCCTCCGCCGCATTTCGCGTCTCTACGCGCCTTCTCCCAAGCGAATGCCCTCAGCACGTGACCGCACTCTTCTCTATACCTGCGGAAATCTATACGGCCACCCACACTTAACACTTCGCTGCGTCTTGCTGCACGGCTTCTCACCAAATACTACAAGCCTTCGTGATAATTGTGAGCGGCAACGCTATGTAATCACTTCGCAGCAGACTCCTCAATTATTACGCTTTCGCGTCGCCTTCACGGTGTGCGTCACCTACGCTTCTCTTCATATGGCTTCTACTGCTTCTCGCCAACTACTACGTGCCTTTGTGACGAATGGGTTCGATAAAGTGACTATCGAACCACTTCATACCGACTATGTAACTACTATGCCTTCTCGCCAACTACTACGCGCCTTCGCAATGACTACTACGCTGTGTACACACTTCATAGAAATCTACTCAACCACTACGCTTTTCGCCACAAAAATACTACCCCTTCGTGCCGACTACGCGCGACCACGCTATTTAACCACTAGTTCGCAACTACTTAACTCCCTGCCCTTCAAATAAATGATAAGTGCCATCTCTACATACGCGGGTAGGGAATCCATGGTTTGAAATGAATAAAATCAAATCATATATTTGCATCGTAGTAGCTCAACAATGAAAATATACACTATAATTCTGGGAGGGCGCCTTCTGAATCTATGCCAGAAGTGAATCTTTTAAAAAATTTGTTCAAGATATCTCTTTATAGAATGTTACATTTTTGTTGAAATGGCACCACCTCCGGTTTACTGAGAATACTCCTTTGGAATGGGATGCAATCAATATGTGACAATGTTTTGAATTAATTGAGAAAATATAACAAACAGTATCGAATTCAGAGGCTAGATGACCCCCGTTGGCCCTTTCGATTCCCTCTTCCTTCTTGATCTGTTTTGTGTCTCTCCCCAAATGTTCCTGACACACACTGCCGAATTGTAACGAATATCACCAATTCTCAAGAGTAAATTTCATGATGCTAAGCATGCTACACTTTTCACGTTCTCATCGACGGCCCAGCTTCTCATCGCACGTACTATGTTCGTTTTTTATAACCAGTTTATTTAATCAGCAGATGATGTGCTCTCTACAAGTTGTGATATCAGATCCGATTAAATAGAATTTTTCTGATAATGAGATTAACTCACTATTTCTTCAAAGAATACTAAGAGATGATCAACTAAGTAGGCAGGTATTGGCTTTCAAGTATCATGCAATGAGTGAGTGCGATTTTGTACAAGTACCTACAAATACAGCCCAAAGTTTGAACTTAAAGATGTCACGTATAACACATTCTTGAAGGATGGGTATTGTTACATGATACTGAGAATATTCTAATTCCCACATTTCCATGATCAACCCACGAATATCAGACGTATGCTAAATTTCTGTCACGTACGAATGTAATTTAATTATGACGTGATTCACACACAATTTTTTCACGCAATTATAACTGCGTATACTCCAGGTGCCAGAACCGTACTTGTGTCTCAAATGCGCATGTCTCTCGCGTTTTCCTACGGCAAACTTCTGGCGTGTTGCCTTCGTACAAATACCACCATTCTGGCTTGGCGTTTCTGCTAGAAATTCAGATTATTCCTGAGGGACCTTCTGGTCATGCTCTAGTTCCCACCTCCTCGTGAGCTCTACACGACCATCGGTCGTACGCTCAATTTCCCTCACGTGGAGTGTAATAGCGACGTTTTTCACGCACGATATTTCCAAAGCATTACAACAGTTGCGCAGCGCTCTCTAGGTACCGGGAGATGAAGGATTCACAGCGCCGCAAGCGACGTGTGCCTGTTCCATCGACAAATAACGCGCCTTTGATCTCGGGGCGGCAGACTGGCTGTACGCACTCGGCCAACGCTCTCGCTTTATTCCATGGCTTGATCCCGGAGGACCCGCTGCGGGATGAAAAGAGCAATAGCTTCGCACGCGGGAGGGACCGTACGCCGCGTACTGTTTTTATGCGTTCCCTGCCGGGAACAAGGAAGTAGTTCGCAGTGGAAGTGGCTGGCCATCGTTGTAGAGACCGTTTTAACTTTTCGAAAACGAAAACCTGCATTGAATTTAAAATGTAGACTTGAATACCGCAATAAACAAAACGATTGCCATAGGAAATATAACATATCAATTGGCAGATGAATTTATGAGTCGCGTAACTGTGAGAAAATTAATAAGCTAATTTCAAAAGCCACGTGTCTCCATTTCACTTTAAATATTAGTTATACGCATCAATATATTCTAAAGATGCAGGTTTATGCTGCTAAATATTGTGTTCGAAAATTGCGATACTCCCGTGCTAAAGGATACCCGAAAAGGGTTCTATCATATTTTGAAATATAATTCTGAATGTGAATACTTTCCCTTCATGAAAGATTGTTTGATGGAGATATCACATATTACAAATAAGCTCCTGTATTCATCTATGAAACTCACAATTTTCAGCGATATGGATCATTCTTCTTTTTGTTCTTCTTGTTGTTCTTCTTCTTCAATACAATTACTATTCTGATATACAGCTCCAGGAGCTGTATGACGCATGTGCTTCTCAATTGTTTGGCGTTCTGCAATGACCAGTTCATCACGCAAAAAGAATAAGACAAAATCGATAAATGCTAGAACGATTACAGCAGAGACTGGCACATACGATGCAAATTTCTGAATGTCATAGGTCAAAAACACTGTGTGAATAGTCATTAAATTCTACTTATATTAAGTCGATAGTGTATAGTTTAAAATAGTTTCAGCAAAGTGCAGCCTATCTTTCGTGTTCATCCCTACCGTTCAGTGCTGGATGACCATTCTCAGCTCTCCGCCATGCGATTTAATTCTTGTGTGTATTTTTCATTTTTATTTCGGAATTCTCTGTTTTCATTTCATTTCTTTAAAAAATTGACTGATAAGAAGATTATTCCCGATAAAAAGATTCCCTCTTAAAGAGAGAAAATTAAACATTTCACGGCAAAGTGATACTTGGATTGCCCAAGGTATTAGAAAATCGTGTAAAAACAAACGCACGCTTTACTTTGTTTCTAAACATCATAACGAATCACCCGTTTCCATGGCTATTTCCGAAAGAAAAAAAGAATTTCAATGAAAGTAATAGTCCAGGAAGGAAACCAAAAAAGAAAAATAATAAAGAATATTGACCGCTAGTAACAAAAATAAAGCAATATGAAATACCGTAAAAAATACACATCATCTGGATACTTTGCAGAGAACGTTGGTTTAAAGGATAATAATAATAGAGATGCAAGCATTCTGGAAAAAGTTGCTAATCTCTTCAACCAACACTTTTCTAGAATTGCGGCTGATCTCACGAAGGGGCTAAAACCACAAAATCCAACATCACACGCTTCTCCACAAAATTTCAAGACGATGTATATTTGCGAAACTTCTTCACATGAGATTCTCACAATAGTCAGGAAAATAAAAAAAATATTCATCTGGTTTGGATGAATTTCTCGATTGTTTATTAACAAATTGTGCACCTGAATTTATACACCCGTTAACTCACATTATCAATGATGCACGGCAATATTTCCAGACATTTTCAAACCAGCAATAATTAAGCCCTGTTTTTGGCTCGACAGCCTGATGCGTGCCATGGGCGACCAGCCGTGGCCCACCCTCTCAGCCATGGAATAAGAAGTTCGTTGGGTTAGCACGAAGACATCCCTATACCGTATATACTTGTCTTCTTAATTTAAGGGTGGGCTTTTTCATCGTCAAACAGTAATAAGTACTGGGACATTTTTAAGGAAAGCGCACAGTTATAATCGATTCCCCGGCAGGGAATCGAACCCGGGGTTGCGCCGTGGAAAGAAAGCCTAAGCTACGAGTCACGGAGGGTCGTAATAATTAAGCCATTCTTTGAAATAAGGGAATAAAAATGAAATTCAAAATTACCGGTGAATTTCTCCTTTTTAGTTTTTTCAAAAATATTAGAGTGGCTCTTCCATATGCAAATGGGAATTTTTTCAGGAAAACCGAAGCTTTTTCCGACCTACAACATGGTCCACGGAAACTGATATTTTTTTCTTTTCTTAAAGATGTTTCTTCATCAATGGACAAAAATGAAGCATCTATTGGAATATTTTTAGATCTTACAAAAGCGTTTGACGTTAGTGTCTATAACATCATGCTTTCAAAATTGCATTCATGTGGAATTTGTGGTACTGCCCTAGATTGGATAACATCGAACCTTAAACATCGATCTTAAAGAGTAGAAATACTGTACTGGCACGAAAGAACATTATTTACTTGACTTCCCAGTTCTTTGCCAATGGAGCATGGGTTCCAGCAAAGTTCGATCTTAGGGCGTATCTTTTTTCTGTTATAAGTATGCCCATATCCATTAAAAAAGGAACAGTTTTGTTCGCCGGTGACACGAATGTTTTTTGAAAAAACTAAATAATTTATAGTACGATTTCAGAAATTTTAAATTGGTTTCGCAATAACAAATTAATTATTAACGAAGGAAAACGGTTTCAATGCATTTTCACATTTCAAATCGCCAATTTCATGCTCCATTGAAAATGCGCAATACTCAATTAACTGATGCTTAAGTAACAACATTTATGGGTCTCTCAATCCAGTCAAACATCAAATGGAATATACATATAAAGTAATTGAAAATAAAATTATGTTAATTACGTTACGTATTCAGAATTATTCAAATTTTCAGTCCCCATGCAGCTCCTTTCAGTCTCCATGCAGCCTCGTGAGAGCCTCGTGAGAGCGAGTCCGCTCGTGAGAGCGAGTCCGCTGGTGAGAGCGAGTCCGCTCGTGAGAGCGAGTCCGCTCGTGAGAGCGCGTCCGCTCGTGAGAGCGCGTCCGCTCGTGAGAGC